AAAGAATCATTAAAATTGGTTCACAATCTGGGAAGATATCGCGTAATAAATATACAAAAAAAACATACATACTCGAATTGAGAACCACCTCTTTTTGAAGTCGGTTAAAAACAATCTGTACATAATTTTAATAGCTAATTTTTAGTTCAACCGCATTGGGCAGTGAAACAAACTTTAAAACCACACTTTTCTCTTATCACACAATTACTCACTCCTGTCATTCAGAGACAACCCTAACATGCAATAAATTAGACAAAAGGTTACAAAAAATTGTTTTCATTTGTCGTCCATCTCGCGATATAAACGGTATACATAAAAGTAAGACCTCGACGAGGCGGACGTTGCATCTCTGTTGTCTTAATCATTCAAAATATGGCCTGAATAATTCAAGCTTTTGCATTTTTTATTGATTTCCATTCGCTTTAAATTTCCTTTTTATTCTTCATCACCATTGGAGCCCATTACAAGTCCACAACTGAAGATAGTCCTCCTCAAGGAATACAACTAAGTACGATCCTATGCTATTCCTCCGTACCAGGCATCAATTACCAGGTCTTCACTCCATTAAGTAGGGGCCTAATTTACACTTCGCTTACCGGTACAAGGGTGCTATTTGAGAACATTTCTTCCCCATCGGTTCTTCAAGCGATATGACCGGCCCGTTGCCAATTCAGCTTACATTCGTAGGGCTACGTCGGTTCATTACCGATTTCTAGTCTATTCACATTAGTTTAAAACTCTCTATGCAGAATGAACTTACTCTGTCTTGAAGTCTTGCGTGGTATGCTTGGGTTTAGTTTTAATTTTATTAATTACAGGGTCCCAAGCAGGTGGCTTCCTTCTTTATTGAAATTAGGATGTTTTTTAATTTCAATAGCCTCACGTATCATCCTTGGTAGGAATCGATGTTCTTTCGCGAGGATTTGTGGTCTATCAAATCTGATGTAATGGTTGGGGCCGCCTAAGATCACAAACAGTTTTGAGGTATTTTAATATAATGATTTGATACAAATAAGTCTGGTAATGTATAGTGCTTCAGATTCTCTTCGCAGTTATTTAATAAAGTGGTTGTTTTAACTATTTTATAAATAGGCTTAATTAGCTTTAGTATATCAAGATTTTACTGTACACTACTATTTTAATTTTATACATTGTGATTCAAAGCAGATAACATCATAGTACAGTCCAGCATACAACTTTCCCATTCGGCACCCTCGCGCGCGGTAGCCCACTAAAATATAATTATACCGTAATTGACCATTTAAGTAATTTGACTTTGTAGAATTTAATTGCGTCAATAAATTTTAGGGGTCGTACTCGTATTCGTAGCTACATTTTTAACTGTTATACAGTAATCTTTCTTTAAGTTCCCTATTTATTTTAAATAATAAAAAATAAATGCGATTACCTTTCTATCGGGTACAAAAATATTGGATAATTGTTTGTTTCAATGAAACAAATTTTTGCTTTTTGAAGTCTGATTTTTGAAAATATAAAATTTTCAGGTTTCCTTTTCTCTCATAACCAGAAAATAAATAAAATAGTGTTCGCGTAAATAAGAGAAATCATTATACTATTATGAGTTATCTAATTTAAATCAATGAAAATAAAAATGAAACTGAAACCTCCGCCGAAATAGTCGCCGCTTAGATTTTTATACTTAGCTTCTTTATTTAAGGTTTGTATGTTTACATTTAGTTAATCTACGTTAGGTAGCTAATTATTAGTCAGGTTAGAGGTTTACACTCAGATAATCTACGTTAGATGCTTTTGTTTTCCATGGGGTAACGAAAACTCGCCTACGTATAAACGCCTGATAGGGGAAGGAAGGGTTTTGCGCCGACTAAATTACCATGAAGTAGTGGCACTCCATTAGTCCAGCCACATGTGCAACACATGTGCAACATATCTCCCGAGTTCGTTACACGGAGGCTATGAGGCTGAGACTTTTTACTAGGCCTTAGCGTAGGTGTATGAATCTTTCACAGACTACATTTTGGTTTCAGAGGGTGGGGAGAGCAGTGTGTTACGCGCTCAAGTCGACGATACACTAGCGCTATCTAGTGTCAGGAACGAGAGCGAGGGGAGCTTTGCAGAGAATGACATCACAAATCTTTCAACCGACAGCGCCATCCGACGAACTAAGTTTTTCCCTTTCCGTCTTGAATATTCCGGATGCTTCATTGCTAATTTGTATATATAGGCGCTGCAAGATGCGATCGGGGCAGTATTGGATTTGGCGAGACAAGCGAAGCTTCGGAGCGGAATAAAGTGAATTAGTGTGTTTAATTATTAGTGTTTTAAGTTTTAATTTGTGTAAAGTAAATTAAAGTGTTAATTTAGGTAACTTTATCGGCAATTTTTATTGTCACGAACCTCAAGCTCGTAACAATTGGTGTCAGAAGTGGGATAAAATCATGCCGATTTTACCTAAGAAGGAAACGGAGGGTGTCCGTACCCGAAGTCAACGCCAGCAGGAGACGGACCAACTAAGATTTGGTGGTGCAACGTCGCAGACGTCGGAGGGCCAGCCACCGGCTGCAGGCCCGTCGGTAGCTCCTACATCTGCAGCACCTGACTTAGGTGCTCTGATGGTGATGCTGCAGGAGCAGGCTCGCCGACAGAAGGAGCAGGCTCGCCGACAGGAGGAGCAGGCTCGCCGACAGGAGGAACAGGTCCGTCAGTTGAAAGAGCAGCTGCGGGGCGGACAAGAGGAACAGGCCCGTCGGTTGGAAGAGCAGATGCTCCTCATGAAGGACCTTCACGCTACCTTCGGGAAGGAGATAAAGGAGGTGAAGGATAGGGTTGCTCAGTGTGACAACCGCCTGTCGGAAGCTGAAACCCAAATCGCGAAAGCTGAGAACCGAATCGAGAAAGCTGAAACCCGAATCGACCAAGTAAACAATCGGGTTGACAACGTAATGGCTGACATGAGGAAATCACTTGAAGAACTCAAACTTGGGGAAGGAACACATCTCCCGTAGTAGCTACTACACCTTCGCTACGTGGGTTCAAGGTGCCACCATTCGACGGTACCTCTTCCTGGTCAGCCTACAAAATCCAGTTCGAGGCTGTTATGAAGGCGAACGGCTGGAATAAAAGTCAGGCCATGACTGCTCTCACACTAGGCCTGCGCGACCAGGCCTTAACAGTTCTGGAAGCTCTCGGTGAGGAAGTGACTTATGAGCAACTCCTTGAGGCATTGGAGGCGAGATATGGCGACGCTCACCTGGAACACGTCTTTCGTGCGCAGCATAAAGATCGTGTGCAGCGCATCAACGAAAACCTGCAGCAGTGGGCTCTAGAAGTGTAGAAGCTGGTGCGAAAAGCATAACGGTCTGTACCTGCGCTCATTGAAGGGAACCTGGTGCAGATATTCATCGACGGCATCCGCGACCTGGAAGTCAGAGCTGCTGTGAGGCTCGGGCACCACGAGACGCTTAAGGAACGCCTTGGCCCATGCACTGGAAGTGGAAGCCGTGCGGCAGGATCATCGTTCCCATCGCGTCAGGGAGGTCGCAGCAGCTACAGTCCGTGACCGCAGTAAAGGATACGGCCCTAGGTGCTATGGCTGTGGGGAAAGGGCCATCATCGATCCAGCTGCCCTAAGCGAACCCTAGAAAGGGAAAGTGAACGATATCAGGAGGGTAGTGCAGCTAACGGCACTGCCTGGCGGCGACAGGATCGTCGTTCACCTCACGCTAGGGAGGTTGCAGCAGTTACGGTTCGCGACCACAATAAAGGATACAGCCCTAGGTGCTATGGCTGTGGGGAAAGGGGCCATCTTCGGTCCAGCCGCCCTAAGCACACCCTAGGAAGGGAAGGTGAACGGTCTCAGAAAGGAAGTGCGGCTAATAGCACCGCTCAGCAGCAGCAGGAATACGACTTTACTATCAGACACTGCAGCGGAAAATCTCACGGCAACGCAGATGCATTGTCAAGAAGGCCTTTTCCTGAAGATTGCAACCATTGTAGTAGGCAAGAGAGTAAGGAAGTGGTATCCATGAGGATGCTCAGGACAGACCACCTCAGCAACGGGTGGAAGGACAGCCTACGACATGCACAGCAGGAAGATCCGGACATCAAGCCGATTCTGGGATGGATGAAGGCCCGTGCTACCAAGCCTAAGTGGAGGGACGTCTCAGCGATGAGTTCAACCACGAAAAGCTATTGGGCCCAATGGGACAGCTTGCTGCTTCAGGATGGAGTCCTGTGCCGTAAATGGGACAATGGTCGAGGAGACAGCTGTCGTCTGCAAATGGTTGTCCCTAAAGCTAAAGTGCCGAATGTTCTACAGCTGTGCCATAATGGTCGTTCAAGAGTCCATCTGGGAGTTAAACGAACTCTACTGAAGGTCCGAGAACAGTTTTACTGGGTCCATTATCGTGACGATGTCGAGGATTGGTGTCGTACATGTACAAGTTGTGCGGCTGTGAGGGGACGTCAGACACGGAGTAGAGGAGCATCGAAATAGTACAATGTTGGTGCACCACGAGAGAGGACATCCCTTGACATTGCGGAGCCGTTACAGAAAGGCGCAAAGGGATCGATATTTATATCGATATGTTCATATAGGATTCACGGCCCAGATAACGTTAAGGTGAGTGTATTTATTTTTTGGCTGATTTACGTTTAGTGCGTAAGGTATGTCCTAACATGACAGAAATTTGGACAACAAGTTCAAAATCACTCCAGGTGAGTGTTGCCCAGCAGTGAAATATAGTGTATTGAGTAACTTTAGTGTATTTTGATATCTTCTCTTCGTTAACTGACTAATCTATGCTAGGTTAGAGTGATAGGCGTATTGGTGGAATGTTGAAATTTTTGTGTATATTTTGCGCGAAAATTTCAACATTATTTACATTATCTAAATTTTGTATTACCGGTAGAGAAAACACATGAAATAAATGTAATAAATGTATTTTTAAAATAAATAGAATTTTAATATACAGGATTAGTGTTTACTATATTTTAAAAAGGTGCATAACCAATATCGGTTACTAATTTTCTTCTGGCCAGTATGCGTCAATTATCTTCTTTATACGTTCGTCCAGGTCTTTGCCAGTTGGGGGTTGCTTAGCTAGAATGAAGACGAACTTTTCATGGCAGTCCATCAATGCTAGGTATTGGTTTTCCACAAGTTTCAAACGCATCGGGTAGCGGTGAAATTCTGCAAGGTCTAGTTTTGCTGTGGAATAAGTTTAATATTGTAGTAAATGTATTTTAAATATATAAAAAATACTTCTATCCATTATTTTTCATTAGATTTCCATACTTAACATTTTAGTTTGCACATTTTTCGGGGAATTCTTAATTGAAACAGATTTTATTTTAAACCTGAGAGTAATTAACAAACTTAATATCCAACTTTAAGTCCCAACCTTACATGGACCTATCTAGATTAACCATGGTGTACTTTATAGAATTTTTTTATAGGATAGGGTGACAAACGAGCACACAGTCCACCTGATGGTAAGTGGTTGCTGTCACCCATAGACATCTACATCTATCCTCGATAACAAATCAAAACGCAGATGCGTTGTCACCTGTGAGGACTAAGATAGAAAGCCTTGTTTTGAGTAAAAAGGGTCTCCGGTTCTCTACACTCACCATACGAAACACAGCAGCATTAAGCTACTATTTGAGGCTGGTATTCTGTGGAGCGTGGTCTTTCCCCGGTCGAGCCGACCCATTCGTGCTACAACTATACCACTAATATAACTGCAGCATAGCTCTACCACGTATGAATGATGAAATAAACGATGTGTGCATTATGTTATTATTCAAGAAGTAATCTAAGCTTAAGAATAATAGTAATATTCATTTGCGAACGCAAACTATCTAAACAAAACGTTTTGTGATATACTATACTCGCAGTTTACAAAATTAAGAGAAAAACACTTTGTACGTGGTAGAGCCACGCTACATCTATATTATAGTTGTAGCACGAATAAGTCAGCTCAACCGGACCGGGCAGGACTACGCTCTCACAGAATACCAGCGTAAAATAGCAGCGTAATGCTGCTGTGTTTCGTATTGTGAGTGTCGAGAACCGGAGACCCTTTTTACTGGAATCGAGACATTCCATCTTAGTCCTCAGGGGTGACAACGTGGGGTGCGAAGTCAGAAGTCCCCCACGTGTGCCTGGTAGTTGCGAGTTCCTCTCGATACGTCTGGAGGGAAGAGCAGCTACTGGGCCGGTGCACCCTGGGCGCGGCGGTAATCTTCCTCGAGAAATGAGAAGAAATTCTTATTCCTTGGGGAATGTTGCTGCCGCGGCTAATTATTCTGACATGGAGGGGGGGTCCGTTCCGGACCAACAGTGCGTTCCTCTGCGTGACCCTCTGATCAGCAGAGGGCATAGCAGAGGAGTGAGGGCGGGCTCGGTGTGCACTTACCCTGCCTCCGGGCAGACAGTGAAGGATTCATCCTTTGCTGTCACCGCCGGTCTCGTAATCCCAGTATCGAAGTGTCGTGGATCAAGTCTCGCGGCTTTGATAGGGACCGAGGGTCTTGGCTTAATCGCCCGGACCGCGAGGGAGAAAACCTCTATAAACAGTTACTCCGAATCCCAAGCGGCGACGCACCGCGAGGGGATGGATGGCTGACGGGGTTCTATGAACAAATCAGCCGCTAGTGCGCTCCTCGCCAGGGTACTTGCAGACCCCCAGGGGTCTCTGCCAAGGTGGACCTTTAATTCCCCCATAATCGTGGGTACAAAAATGGAAACAAAAAAACAAACAAACAAAACCGCCGGCAACGGCAACGTAGAGGAGAGGAGGAACGATGCGGGGACAGAGTCCGACGCCGCATCGAGCAGCGTGGGAGGCCCAGAGAGCTCCCGACTCGTGGGGCCTGGGACCGCGGAGAACAGTAAGTTCTTCCGCAAGCGGTTCAGGCGGGATCGCGACCAGGGGCCGCCATCCGGTGAAGAGGAGGTCTCGGCCCGAAAAATCCCCACCAACGGGCGGGGCGGGCTGAGAGGCAAGGGGAATGCCAATCAGAGGGCCGAACGAGCGGCAAAGCTTGCCGAGGAGGGGCGCCACTCGGGCGATACGGCTTGGGTATCAGGCGAAGAGACGAGTGCGACTGGCGGCTCCGAGGTGGAGCGTAAGGCCAGATTCGTAAAGGAGGTGGAGGCCGCGATCAAGATCGTGGCCTACAAGCAAAAGCCCTCCTCGAAGTTTAAGGCCATTCCCGGGGCCTCCGCCTCCATCATGGCGGCTGCGGAGGCCAACTTTGTTGGGGCCGGGCCTAATGCGGACGAGGTGGCGAAGCTGCGGGCGGACGTGGCCCGCCTGACGTCCGCCATGAAGACTCTCCAGAAGGAGAACGAGAAGCTCCGCGCAGACCTGGTCAGTCTACGTGAGCCTGCCTCTCGCGCGGCGCCCCAGACGCAGCGCCCAAGCCAGCCCGTGCAGGTGGAGAACCAGGTTCTGAACCTGGTCCGGCAGGAGCTGGCTGCCTTCCAGCACCGGTTCTCCGTGCTGGAGGGCCTCGTCCTGCGCCCCCCCCCTTAGGGGCAAACAAGACGGCAGCGAGGCCGGCAACGGTCTCGTACGCGGCGGCCACGGCTGCCGCATCCAGGCCGGGGCAGTCCAGCCAGCCCTCGGGCGGGGCTGCAGTTGCCCCTCCCCCCCCTGAAAAGCCGGCTCCGGCAAATCCGGTACCGGCTGAACCGGCTTCGGCTAAGCCGGCGACGTGAAAGAGAGGCAAGACGAAGGCGAGAAAGGGAAAGGCGGCAGCACAGGTGGTGGGTGCACCAGCCCCAGTGCCTGCGACGAATGTGCCAGCGCCAGCGGCAAGCCAGCTGCCGCCGCCGTCACCGCCCCCCCCCCAGCTCCCTACACCTCTCCCGGCTGAAGCCGGTTGGCAGGTGGTCGGGAACAAGAAGAAGGGGAAGAAGGCAGCCAAAAAGGCCAAAGAGCAGGAGCGGCAGCGCCAGTTCAGGGCGCGCAAGATCGCGGCTAGGCTCCGCGCCCCGAAGACCGCAGCTGTAGTGATTACACTACAGCCGGACGCGGAAAAGAAGGGCGTTACCTACCGCGATCTGCTCGCGAAGGCGAAGGAGGCGGTGGATCTCGGGGAGCTCGGGATCACCGGGGCCTCCGGCTCAAAGTCACCCAGACGGGGGCCCATATGCTGGAGGTCCCCGGGGAATCCAGTGGCGCGACCGCGGACGCTCTGGCTGCGAAGCTCAGAGCGTCTCTGGACGCGGACGAGGCCCGGGTGTCCAGGCCCGTTAGATGCGCAGACCTGCGCATCATGGGTCTGGACGACTCGGTATCGGAGGAGGAGTTGCTGGCCGCCGTCGCCAGGTCCGGGGGGTGCACTACTGACCAGGTCAGGTCAGGCGCCATACGCCCGGACCAACAGGGCATGCATGCCGCCACGGTGTGCTGCCCTGTTACGGCGGCCAAAACCATAGTGGAGGGCCGAAGGCTGCTGGTGGGCTGGGTCTCAGCGCAGGTTAAGCTGCTGGAGCCCAGACCTCTGAGGTGCTATCGCTGTCTCGTGGGGCACCACGTATCAGTGAGATGCGCCTCGGAGGTTGACCGCAGTCGCCTGTGCTTCCGCTGTTGTCAGCCCGGACACATATCGGCGACCTGCTGCGCCACGCCGCACTGTGATGCATGTGCGGCGACCGGCAAGCCAGCCGATCACACGATCACACGACAGTAGCTGCTCGAGACTGGGCTCTGGAGACAGGCCTGGTCGAACTAAATCGGGGTTCTGTCCCCACGTGTGTGCGGATGCGGGGCGAGTCGGTGGTGGACACCTCGTTCGCTAGCCCCGCTCTGTCGCCGCGTGCCATTGACTGGCGTGTCATGGAGGGGGTGGAGACCTACTCCGACCACCGGTACATCCGGTTTGACGTCTCCACCCAGCCCTCGAGCGCGTCAGTCCAACAGGCCCCGAGTGGTCCGCGTTGGGCGCTGAAGCAGCTGGACCGGGAGCTCCTCCTGGAAGCCTCGATCGTGCAGGCTTGGGTGTCATCCCCGGCCAGGCCTGCCGACGTCAATGATGAGGCAGGGTGGTTCCAGGAGGCCATGTCCGAGATATGTGACGTGGCAATGCCCCGCGTCCGGCCAGGAAGCGCCCGGCGTCAGGTGTATTGGTGGTCGCGTGAGCTGACGTCTCTGCGCGAGGCGTGTGTCGCCGCGCGGCACCTGTACGCCAGGCATCGCAGGCTCCGCATTCGTCCACCGAACACGGCAGCCATTGAGGCGGAGCTGTACGAGGGATACAGAGCGGCGAAGACCGCCCTACGGGAGGCTGTCCTGCGGGCCCGGGATCGGGCCCGTGAGGAGATGCTGGAGACTCTCATCCGTGGGGGGCGCCCTTACAAGATGGTGCGGGATAAACTCCGCACCTGGGCCCCCCGCTGACGCAGAGTCTCAGGCCCCAGCTCGTGGAGGACGTGGTAAGCGCTCTGTTCCCTGCGCGAGGGGAACATCCGCCCCCGCCTATGGCTCCGCCACCTGCGGTGCCGGAAGCGGACCACCAGGACACGACGACGACATCCCAGAAGGGACCGGGGTAGACCTGAGAGTGGCGGTACGTAGGCTCAAGGCCAGGAATACCGCCCCAGGACCCGATGGCTTGCCTGGCAAAGCCTGGGTCCTGGCCTCGGAGGCTCTCGGGCCCCGACTGGAGGGGATCCTAAGCGCATGCTTGGAAAGAGGCCAATTCCCGCTTCGTTGGAAGACGGGGAAGCTGGTCCTCATTCGGAAGCCGGGGCGCCCTGCGGACTCTCCGTCCGCATACCGGCCCGTGGTGCTGCTCGACGAGGTGGGCAAGCTCTTTGAAAGAGTCATTGCAAACCGCCTCGCCGAGCACCTTGCGGGGACGGGGCCGGATCTTGCGGAAGACCAGTTTGGTTTCCGCAAGAGGCGCTCTACGGTGGACGCCATCATGCGCGTGAGAGCCCTCACGACGGGGGATGCAGTGGCCAGAGGGGGTTGTCTTGGCGGTGTCTCTCGACATCGCCAACGCCTTCAACTCCATGCCCTGGAGCTGCATTAGGGGCCTCCCTACTCCGGTATCACCGGGTGCCGACATATCTCCGTCGTATAGTCGGGGACTATCTGACGGACAGGGCCGTCATCTACCCCGGTCGCAACCGTGAGTGGAACCGGCGAGAGATGTCGTGCGGTGTCCCACAGGGTTCGGTTCTGGGGCCACCTCTGTGGAACATCGGTTACGACTGGGTACTGCGCGCCGACCTCCCTACCGGCGTCAGCGTAGTTTGCTACGCTGACGATACGCTGGTACTGGCACAAGGGGGGTCGTACGAGGCGGCGGCGGAAACTATGACACGCGGGGTTGCGATAGTCGTTGAGAGGATTCGGCAACTGGGTCTCGAGGTGGCTCTGCACAAGTCCGAGGCCATGCACTTCCATGGTCCTCGGAACAGGCCACCACCGGGATCCTCAGTGATGGTAGGAGGGGTATCCATCGGCGTCGAGTCAACGCTGAAGTACCTAGGACTCGTCTACGACGGCCGATGGAACTTCGTTGAGCACTTCCGACGTTTGGCTCCCAAACTGGAACGGACCGGGGCTGCCTTCAGGCGGCTCCTGCCGAACCTGAGGGGGCCAAACGCCTCCTGCCGGAGGCTCTACGCGGGGATCGTGCGATCCATGGCCCTTTACGGGGCCCCGGTGTGGGCGCGTGGTTTGGCGCGGCTTGCCGTCCACCACCTGAACGCGCCCCAAAGGGTGGTTGCCGTGAAAATGGTCCGCGGCTACCGCACGATCTCCCGCGAGGCGGCGAGCCTCCTTGCCGGATTGCCGCCATGGGATCTGGAGGCGGTAGTCCTCGCACGCCTGCAAGAATGGCGCGCGGAGGCACTATGCCGGGGGGAAACCCCGCTGCCGCGGCAAGTTGTCGCGCAGCGGACAGACTTCCGGCACGATCTCATGGCGACATGGAGAGAGCGACTGTCGCAACCCCGTGCTGGGCACGCCACTATAGCGGCGATAAGACCCCTCTTTGAGGAGTGGCTTGAGAGACGCCACGGCATCCTCACCTTCCGCCTGACGCAGGTCCTCACCGGACACGGTGTGTTCGGGAGGTTCCCGCACCGAATCGGGCGGGAGGAAACGCCCGGGTGCTCCCACTGCGAGGATGGACCGGAGGACACGGTGGAACACACCGTGGAGGTGTGCCCTGCTTGGGCGGAGCACCGCCATGTTCTCGTAGCGGCGATAGGCGGCGGTAACCTCTCGCGTCCGGCTCTGGTCGAAGCCATGGTCCGGAGCGAGACGGAATGGGATGCCGTCACCACCTTCTGCGAAGCAGTGATGCTAGCGAAGGAGGTGGCGGAGCGGGAGAAGGAGAGAGCAGCAGCTTTCCTCCCCGGTCACCGCGGGAGACGCCCCGGGCGTCGGGGGCTACGTCTTGGCCCCCCGGCCACCGTAGGCGCGGGCCTGTGGACGGCGAGCAATGGGTAGCTCGCCGTCCGTCCGTCTAACGACGACAGGCCGTGTCGACGGCGCGTTTTGTTCCACGCGCGCCTCAAAGAGCTGTCAGCAGCGTGAAGGGGCCCGCAAGGGCCGACGCCTGCCGGGGCTGCGGGCTGTTCGAAAGAGATACCGCGGCTCCGGAACGTAAGGGCACTGAAGGAACACGGATGGTTTTTAGTCAGTAAAAGTCTGACACTCCCTTACGCTCCACCCAGAGCGAAAGGCGTCATTAGATGATTTTCCATCCGCAAAAAAAAATAAAGGGGTGACAACGTATTTGCACTTTGATTGTTAATTGAGGATAAATGTGTATGTCTATGGGTCATAGCATCCACCTACCATCAGGTGGACTGTGTGCTCATTTGTCACCCAATGCTATATTTTTTTTAATATTGGCAATAAATAAGTTTCGTTCGCTCAATTTAGGGACATCAAGTCGACTTTACAGGCAATATTAAGATAGTAAAATGTATAAAATTGTCTTATTGGGTGATAGATCAGGGAAACAAATGAAAAGTTTGTGATTTCAAAATTACCGTTTCACAACTTAATGGACAGATACCAGCATGTGTTCGTAGTGAAACCAGGGCGTACTATCTCTTTGATTTATTCGGTAAATAGTTTTAAAGTACATAATGTAGGTAAACAGTTTCTTACTAAGTGCTTGCGTATCTATCTCAAGAAGAAACGTTATGTATATGATTAGGTGTCTATCAATGATTTTTTAAATAAACTCTCATCGATTTTTCTCATATGCTTTTATGCACATTTCTTTTATCAAATTTGCAACATGTGAGAAATCTGATGACATTACTGACGATCTGTCGTTGCGTCCGTAATTTTTAAAAACATTTGTAATATGGAGCGTAGAGGTAAGGAGCACAGACTGTGTATTAAAAAGTGTCCGTAGGTAACCGTTAAATAAGGGTGGCGCCACTATAGCTACGGGTTAAATTTTAAAGAACGTGCCGAAAAATATTAGTGGGATAGACGACTTTTTCGAGGTTATATTTACTAAATAAAATTATTTTAGATTTTAGAGCTACTGAGCAGTTTAGCAGCACACTTCAAACCGTCGACAACTGCTAAGTTCATTTCATCCCAGTAGCTACTCCAGCGCTGTTGTGGAGAGTTTTTGAACTGTTATTTACTGCTAACAGATGGCCACTTTTTCAACTATTCTCCTATGAGAGATTGTTCTCCTTACTTCTACACTCCATAATTTGCAAGGTTCATTTAAGCAATATGTAATGTAGTTTGAGATAGCCGTTCTTTATTTGTGTTATCAGTTATAAAATTTGGGTTTGTTTTTCACTATGAAACAAAAACTATGTACTTTTAATTTATTTACCTAATTTTTATTGTATTTCAATCAAAAATCTAAAACGATATTCAAGCGTTGATGACTAGCCTGTTAATAGCTCAAATTAATACCTAGAGTACCCGTAACTGACGAACAGGTATGCGTAAGAAAATGGATGTTAAATAAGTGATATAGGGGGGACAGAATTGTGCCCAATGGAAGTCGTACCTCTCTGGATGACAAACGTGTAATTTATATACATGTATTTATTCGCCATCTGGTTTTTAGCTGGCTTGATCAAATCAGATATTTTATTAGTTGGTGATGCTGTCAGTGAAATTGTACATAATAATATATGCATACGTGCTTAAATATGAATGTAGTTTAAGACAATAGGCTATTTTGTACTGGGAAAATTTCACTTGAGAGAGGCGATGGCATGTTAAAAGATTGTAATATTTGTATAAAATATTACTGTTTTGTTTTTTTTTTATAATTGTTTTAAATAATAATTTAATTATTCAGTAGAATGAAAGGGAAAAAAGTAAATTGACTTTAAAAACTCAAAGAATAAAATAATTTCCATTTATAATGGCTTCTAATGTAGGCGTTTTAGCGCCTACATAAGAAGCCATTATATACTGTAAAAAAAATAAACATTGAAAAAGTGAAAATTATTTTATTCTTTCCAGTTGTCGAAGTCGGCTTTTGCTTTTAATACAAGTTAATTTCTTTACCCTTTTGAATAGACCTCGACTGCATTTCTTAATGCAGTCAAGGTAGCTCAGGAGTTAAACGTGCACAGGCAGTGAACAGCCCGAGCAGCCGGAACCAATGATAATGTAAATTGCAATTAATGCGCAAAAAAACTAAATATAAGAAAAAAAGTATTTCGAAGACGTGATGTTCGAAAACACGCGTTACACGACGCTTACAACACGCTTAAAACCCTCTCAGAAAATGAGAGGAGGCATGTGCCCAGCAGTGGGTGATATATAGACTGTAACTTTAAAGAATACACGAGTTCGAGTTAAACAACTAAAAAGTCGTTTTTATAGTTACATTAAAATTCTTCATCCCCTAATCATGTTATCTTCAAATTTCCTTGAAAAAAGGACCACTCCTGAAGAACAACTCATTATTATCATCATCGTTACAACACTTCACAAGTTCACTGCCAAACATATGCCTTCTCTGAGGAATGCCATAAAATACGGTCCACGTGCATGTATCGATTTCTTGCATTTCTTACCAGGTCGTCTCTACATCTAGTGAGTGACAGCCCTGCACTTTGCTTACCGGTACGAAACTGCAACTTTAGAACCGTTCTTCACCATCGCTTGTCGGTCAAGAACAATTAAATAACTTATTTAATAACAAATGTGAACATACATGAAAAATATACTCGTCGAATATACTTTTTCGTTTTTTCGATTTGGCTACAAATGGTTGTTATACTTGAAAATAAAATGTTTACAATAAGGTTATTTTAGGTTATTTTAATATGGTATAATAAGGTTGTTATACTAGTAAATATCCAATAATATTACCCGTGGATGGAGGCATTTGTAATGTTCTGTAAGAGCCCTCGCCTTCAAGTTTTTCTAGATAGTAGTCCCGGGTGCGGTTGGATTTGATGATAGAACACGGAATCTGCATCTTCATCAGGAGATTATCCCACTTGAGGTTCTCTATGTATTTTCCAATGCGTTCTTCTAGATTTTTTTCTTTCCTATTTTTTTGGCATCGTAAAAATGGATTTAATTGAAAATTTTTAACATTTTATAAAATTTCTATTAGTATTGTTAGATATAAACATATTTAAGAATGTTTTTCCTTGTTAGATGTGCGGACAGTTTTCTTACAAAGTTTGTAAAATACATTTAATTAAAGTTATAGAAGAAAAAAAATGGTAAGATAACATTAAAATTACCTCTTGAGCGATATTTGTAAATTCAACGCAATGTGACTCGCCGAAGCTATTTAGTTTTTCGTTTCTCACGTGAAGTAAGTACCAGATACCTAAAGCCTCATTGTCTTCGAAGGTCACGTTTTTTGAAAACTCTTGGCAGCTATGTTGCTTGTTGCTGGATTTGGGAGCAGCTTTCGCAAGCTGTAGGTAAACGATAGCTATAAAATAAAAATAATGTTATGATAGAAGATACATTAAATAAGCGAACGTATAAGTGTGTATGTAGCTTGCCACCAATTATTACATAATATGTAATAATATATTATATTATAGTAAGACTAAAATAGAATAATATTCAACAAATAGTGAGCCATGTTAGCTCAGGAAATAATTACAAATCGTTGCTGTTTTTAGCCATAATTACAAATCACGACAGCTTTGCATATAGTTTTAATTGTTGATTTAATGAAAAGTGGTTAAAAAAACGTACTGCGGAAAACTGAATGTCTGAGATATTAAATTATCTTTTTTCAGGATACGTTAAAATTCTTTCCAGCTCCATGGTTGTGCTCAGCAGTGGAGCTCAGTATTTCGTTGTGGAACTTATTGGGTTCTTACTTGGTGGGAATGAAGGCTGTACAGTTTACTATGTTTGTTTACATAATATTACGTATTTATATTGTATTTCCATTTTGATTATATACTACAATTTACAACTAGATTGTAGTAGCTTTTAAGCATAGTTCGTTAGTAATAAATAAAGGGAGGATTTTTTCTTCTTCAGATTTTATTAAATTTAACGAAAATAAAAAGTGCAAAAATATATTTAAAAAAATGTTAGAAAAAATATTAAGTTACAGCATAGTATTAGCTATAAAATAAAGTTACAGCCAATATACGTCCCACTGCTGGGCACAGGCCTTCCCTCATTTCTGAGAGGGTTTTAGGGTAAGGAAGTGTCCGCCGCGCTGCCCCAATGCATGAAATATTTTTTTTATTCCTCAGACATGCAGGTTTCCTCACGATATTTTCCTTCATCGCCGAGCACGTGGTAAATCAGCACTTAAAATTGCAATTAACAATTTCATTGGTGCCGGGAACCCGGGTTACTCGCGTTTTGTTATATTTACAGCGAGCGTTAACCATCTGAGCTACCACGGCTATTAGCTATTAGCTATACTATGTAGCAAAACAAAAAAAAAAAATTTTAGTCGCTCTGTAAGACAAATTAACCAATAAAAGTACACCTACTATTCATTAAATTAACCTCATCATTAAGCAACACGGGCCGCCGACGTACCGGACAACGACAAACGTTTGAAAAGTTTTGCTACAATTATCTTCATTTTAGTTCATTTCATTTCAGTTTAAGAAGTGTTATTGAGCTTTTAGCTTAATAACACTTCCACGGCACAGTCCCTTGCCTTTAAGACAGACCATAAACTGTAAGTCAGGAGTTGTTGCCTTTGCACCACTGCTGAACGCTAGAATCTGTGAGCTAAAGCTTTTTTTTAATATCAATGAAAGTTTACTAAAGCGCTTTTGTCTCCAAAAGAAGAGGCACAGTTTCAAGCATGTCTCATCGGTGATTTTCTTAATTATTTTTGATGATATTTTCATCAAAAACCAGGGTCACTATCGTAGGCGGTGCCACAAATTGCGCCCCAGCCCATAATGGTATTATGGATTTCTTCTATCTGTAATTTTTTTCTCGGAAAACGGTTTTTTTTAATTTGTTCGTAAGCCATTGTGCTTTATGAGTTTATACGGTATCAATTGGAGAATATATTTTAGTATACGCTATATGGTGGAGCGGCATATTCCCAAGTCTCGTAACATAAGTATTCCTAATCTTGGTAATTGGATTGCGGACTAATTCTGTTTGATAATAGGTAATGTAATGTCGATTCTTAGAAGTTCTAACAATCCTCTTTCAGAACGGCATTCAGAGTTGCCGAGCTCGTTATAGTGTTTTGTATCCACTATTATGCAATGAATATTAGTAAATATAGATAGCTCCATGTTACACTGACATAACTCACACAGAAATCGTAATAATAAGACATTAGAAGTCGCATAGACGCGCCATGTCGTCGCTTATATGGCTGGACGAACATAATTCACCATTTTGTGATTTAGTTGTGCGGGGAACGTCGTACGTGAATTTTTGTTATTATAAATTTATAATGGTGCACTGCAGCATAATCAGTTATAAAACTCATCAAGGACGTGTAATTAAACTAATAAAGGCATTTCATCAGTAAGTGATTATTTACTAGTTATCATTGTTTTAATTAATTTACGTCTAGATGAATATTTTACTATGACTTACTATGATTGACTTTTTGTATTACACAATTACCATTGCTGCTTTTGTTCTACTGTAATAGGCGACACACGCGACTTTGACAAACTCGCCAAGCAATGTAATCTGAAACATTAGATACAACAACGGTTTTCGAAGTAATCGAGCACTAATTCATTTCTATTGTCTTATTGTTACGATTTATATTCTTCAATTTCTATTTTCAATTTTTTTTCTAACAAATAATGTTGAATTAACGCCAAGGAAAAAGAAAACAAAACGTCGCGGCCCGCCGCAGCTCAGGTAGCTAACCACTATGCTATTGAGCCGACCGAATTGAATTAATTTTAGTAATATAATCTCCTTATTCTTCCTATCCTACATTGGTATTTTAAAGGGCGATGATGAGGAAGAAGAAGAACACCGAAAACGTTGATAATCTATTTCTATTTTTAATAATATACTAGCTGGTATCCGGCGCAATGCTGCCGCAAACGAAATATTTGCGGAAATATCGTTTCAAATTTGGAAGGGTCATATTGTTTAATAGGAATGATAATATATTCATTGAAATTGAATTATATATGACTTTCAAATATATTAGCACAACGCACAACCGCACAACCGTAAGTTAACTGTACTATGCCTACAATATTCGCGCAAGTGCAAGCAATAAGTTGACAAAGTTTTAGCGCAATTATTGATGAACGGTTTTGCAGCGCATAAAATATGAACTGTTTCTTCACTTTAAATTTTATAAAACAGATAATTCTATTCCTTGTACATTTCGTGACTAAAAGAGGTTACATATAGTTTTAACAAAAATATCATTAGCGTTTTCAAGTCCATTGCAGGACACAGGACTTTTCTAACACGCCAGCGGATGTGTGTTTTTGGAAAGGATTGCCAAATCACTACATTGTGTAGATGGTTTGATGAACACAGATATCCTTGCGCTGGTGATAGCCTTTTAGTTTAGTTAAAACATTATGAATGCCAAAAATATTCCATTTTTCTTTATCTTTATTTAGGACTTTGAAGTTGATGACAAAATGATATTAATTGACACGTTACACGAATACCACTACACAATGAATAAAACTAATTTTATGGATTTTATCGCGTTCATTTTGATCTATTTATGATTCCTGATGTTTCGGGTGTCGCCCATGGTCACGGGAGGAATAAGGTGTCTGACATCCTCAAGCCATGGTTAACCCGAGCTTGAGATTTTGGATATTCATTTTCGGTCTGAAGAGGGGCAGGAAACGAACTCTACCTTCTATTCAATTATCTTCTGATATTATAGTAATATCCTCCAGATCGAATTTCGATCACATTTGACAGTCTAAACTGAGACTTGCCACTGCACAGAACATGATTTATACTGCTGGAATTATAGCGCCTAAGTGTATGCGCTAGCAGAGGTGCACTCTCTATTCCCTCACTCCCATAGTCTGGACTGCTACGAAAATTTTCCTGATAAAAAACTCCAATCACTGATTTTGGCCCGACTGGGATTCGAACCTGGGACCTGATGATCAACATGTACGACCAGTAGATGAACGAACCAGTCGGAGTGGATTCGGACAATACAGGAAGCTACTAACTCTGCAGAAAAAAGTATTAGTCACAATATATCAAGTATGGGACATTTTTGATGCTGTAGACATCTACATCTATCCTTAATTAAGAATCAAAATGCATTGTCACCATTGGGAAATAAAATGAAATACCACGTTTCCAGTAAAAAGGGGTCTCCGGTTCTCTACACTTGCCACACGAAACATAGCAGCGTTATACTCCTATTTTATTCAAGTATTCTGTGAGTGCTACAACCTGGGGAACTTCAAGAAAAGAGCTTACTTCTTTCTAAAGGGTAGGAAACGCACCTGCGATTCCCCTGGTGTTGCGGATGTTCATGGGCGGCGGTAGTCACTTAACATCAGGTGAACCGTATGTTCGTTTGCTCTCTCTTCTATAAAAAAAAAACATAATATATCTGCAACGTGGCACCACCACGTTAAAAATGATTAAGGAATGGATAATTAATAAAAATGATATTACCTAAAATGGATAGCCGTAGAATAGAAGACATTTTGTGATTCACAGAAGCCGAGTCACGCTACGCGAACCGCGGTAATGAACCGAATGACTTGATTAGGTGTATCAAAAGGATAACAGCATTAACAACTCAAATTGTGAACACTTAACTTTTGGACACGGCAATTTTATTTAGAGAAACATATTTTTTATTTAACTTATTCTTTTGAAAGACGCGTTATGTCTGAGTCGAAAGAGTTGATTAGCCATAACGCTTTAAAAAGTAGCGAAAAGTTTGTTGAAAATTAAAGAACTTTGGAAGTCAATTATTTAACGATTGCTGTGTTACCAGCAAGAGGGAAGGGAGGTGCGATGAAAAGAATTTGTATTAAGGTGGAGGAAGAGTAAAAATTTAATAGCCTAAAGATGTATAATGATTTCTTAAATTTACGCGAACACTACACATTGAATAAAACTATTATTTACGGATTTTATCGCGTTTAATTACTTTAATTTATTTTTATTATTATCCCGACGTTTCGGGTGCTTTACAGCACCCATGGTCACGCGGGGGACCTCCTGTATCTATCCCTCTTAAGAGGTGAGAGTAAGTCAGCTCAAATTCTAATTTCGCCCCCACTTCCCCGCGCGTCGTATGCTATGTACCGACATGTTTGTAATCACTAATACTCTAAGTAGATAGGTCGTTAGATACTTATTTCATTATGTTTATATATATCTGCTTCTTAACGCCAACCCAGTCGCTTCTTATTTTTATAACGGTTATTCCCCATTTTAATTTTACGTCTTCCTGTTGCGTAATGTGTTTTCTGATCGTAAGCGACACAACTTCTCCCTTCAAAAGCCGGAGCAATACTAACGGAGCGACAGGAACCAAGCTTACGCGCCGATAGTTTAGGTAATTTCTTTTTTACAGTGAAAATAATGATATTTCAAAAAAAGTAAATAACATAAGCACTGCTTTATGGTTAGTTCAGTTAGTATGCAAAGTTTCATGATCTTATTTAAAGTATTTTATGAATAACAGCGGTTTATTGTTCAGTTTGGAGGTAACTTTGGATTTTTTTTCTATCGAGAAAATTTTACGGAATCGTGTTTTCGTCTAACATAAACCTTAACATTAATCCTCAACTTTACCATATATTTATTTCAAAATTAATGCTGCAATACTTTCGGCATAACGGAGGATCTTGCTAAGCCATTTGAGGTTATATTTCCCCTTAAGTGTTACTTTATTGTAGGGAGAAGGCGATTAATATGTTCACTGAAAATATTGTGTAATGTCAAAACTTTGGCCGACAGAAATTTGATGAGCGTATTTTTAAAGTGTGTAAACCCATCATTTTATATAAGCGTAATTCAGTTTATAATGCATTGAAATGAAATGTCTTTAATAATATGTATTTCAAAGAAAAACTACTACCATTTCGAAACGAGATTCATATTACGTTTCTCTCACCGTATCTTCCAGTTAAGTCTTAGCTGTTAAGAGTATTAACTGAGAAGACATGGCGAGAGAAACATCGCTGGTATTTTCTTTTTAACCTTCGACGCAAAAAGCGGGATGTTATATGTTTAACGCGTATTTCACTAAGCCCGGAGTTGACGGAGAGAGAATGCCAAAAGGCATTAAGTTCACCCTTTGTTACCCTTTTATTTAAGGTTTAAGCAATAAAACATAAATAAATACCAATAATATACAGCTTTTAATGAACGTACTTATATTCTTGCTTTTCACCCGCGGTTTCGCTCGCGTGGGTTTCATTTTAGATACCTCAATAATACTATTCCGTACTAAAAATAGTAAAACTGTGTCACTTGTAGGGACACCCCGGTATATGTGACTATATTGTAAGTAGGAAATGATTGAAATTTGGCAATATAATATGCTATAAAAACACACTTGAGTTTATCAAAATTGCATTAATATCATACGTCTAGCCAACACCTTTTTTCTTCTGCTATCTTCCGCTGTGGCTTTATGAATGGAGTATTGCCCTGGAATCAGAAATGCGTTATTTACATATTATTAATCCACTCGAATGTCGGGGTCATTTTGGCCAATATGGCGCATCTGTCGAGCACTTTCAGAAGTACTAAGTATGTAACAAGTATACTAAGTATATATGTATATATCTATATATATATATATATATATATATATATATATATATATACTAAGTAAATATATATAATCATATATCAATGGAAACGTTATTAAATAAGCTATCAGATTATGCATAACAGATATAAATTATGTTATATATATCATATATATGTTACAAATAGTTTGCTATCACTCGACGCCATATTATGGCGTTTGACAGATGCGCATATTATTTGAGACGCCAGAATATGGCGTTTGGACTGACGAGAGGTAATAATTAAATCGATATAGTTTTGATAAAATAATGTTGAATTTCAATATCTTTATTAATAGTCAATGGGGCCAAATGACTTTTGAATGGCACCATAAAATATATGCTAGTAATTTATTACGTTCGAGTAGACTTCAAAATTTTATAAATAAAGTTCTATTCACAGTGAACGTGTGAGAAGAAATATAATCATGAACTGGAGTAGAAATGTACAGAAGACAGGCAGCAGCCTCTTCCTGATCATAGCTTAAAATAATAATAATATGCAGTTGGCAACTCGCATGCCAAGCGTGGTAACTACGGTAAAGGAATCCAATTAATGAACGGGAGTAGAAATATATTAGCCATGTAGCGGCAACGAAAAAGAAACCACTATCCCATTTCGTCCCGTGGGTGCCGTAAGAGACCACAGAGGCAAACTGAAACAGGAGATGGGCAGCATCTTCCTGATAACAGTGCAAAATAATAAAAAGTTGCGGTTGCCAACCCGCTTGCCAAGCGTGAATACTACTGCATATCCAGTCATCAGCAGTGGATAGCCCTATTAAAAGTAAAAAGTAGCAGTCTAGATACATCCCACTATTGGGCACAGGTCAAAATAACTTGATTCCAATGCGGGATGATCAACTTCCTAGGTAATCCAAATTTTTTTTAACTTCTCAATACGTTTCCTCGCAATTTTTCACCACGATGTCAATCACTTCAATTGCAATTGAAATATGAGTGGAGTCGGCGCTGATCAAATTTGGGTTGCTTACATATTTACTACGAAATTTACGTTTAGATCGATTCCATTAGTAGCTTTGTAACAATATCTATTGATTGATTCAGTCAAGGTATATCATAATATATTCAACAAACACTAAAATTTTATGAAATACCGCCATTGCATGATATTATAAATTCAAGATCAGACTATTATACATTTAATTTTTTTTTTTTTATATATATATATGAAATCTCTGTATTTAAACTATAGGTAATTGCAGTTTTTATCAGTTTATTTACAGATAAAAAATTAAAAGCTGCTAAGAACTTTTAATACATTAGAAACTAAACTTCAATTCAATTCAATTTATTTGCTATTCTTGTTGTATACATTTGGTCTTAATTATAAAAAAACAGTTCGAAATAAGAACCCTGGAAGGGCACTGCAAATAATGGCAATCTTTAATATTATTATTACATTTAAATTATGGTATTATTAATTAAAATTATCAATTATTGAATATTTATAATTAACTTAAATAGAGAGAGATCATACACTATACGATGTTAATGGGAGACTTCAAAGCAAAACTAGGCACAAAGGAGAGTGGTGAGCTGAAGGTAGAAAAATTTGGGATAGGGTAACGGAACCCAAAGGGCCAGCAGCTGACCCACTTCATGGAGAAAGTGGGCCTCTTTATGACCAACTCTTTCTTCCAGAAGCGGCCCCACCGAAAGTGGACCTGTTCGAGCCCCGACGTTTCGACAAAAAATGAGATTGACTTCATTATGACGACTAGACGGCAACTGTTCAGTGATGCCTCAGTGATTGCAAGGATGAAAACTGGCAGTGATCACCGAATGGTTAGAGGCACACTGAACCTAAACGTTAAGTTGGAGAGGTCGTGTTTAATGAAGTCAACGCTTCGTCCCCCTCGCGCTCTAGTCCAATGTCCCGAAACCTTTCAGCTCGGGTTACAAAACCGTTTTCAGTTTCATAGTCTTTACCAGAGATCTGTCTGCCAGAAAGAGCCAACTGTTAAAGCTGAAAACTGAGTGTGGCAGCATCGTTTCCGGGACATCTGAGATTTTTGAGTGAGACTGAGAGGTTCTACGGGTAGCTGTACACATAATCGTTGGAGCCACTCGCAAGCCAACGCAACGATCCAAGGAGCAAGTCTTATCCGACACTATTCTATACCTTAAATTTGCCGACGATATAGTCCTTATGGTAGAATTGCTGGAGAACATAAGCACTATGCTCAATGACCTCAATGGTATCTCCCAACGAATAAGTCTTAAGATGAACATGGACAAAACAAAGATCATGTGTAACGTCCATGTCACACCTATGCCGGTAGTTGTTGGTAACACTAAGCTCGAAGCTGTCGACAAGTGCGTTTACCTGAGACAAATAGTCTGTCTGGGTAAGTCCAACTTCGACCGAGAAGTCAACCGACGGATTTAATTCAGCTGGGCATCATTTGGGAAATTACGACACATCTTCTCGTCAGGTATATCTCAAAACCTGAAAACTAGATTGTAAAACCAGTGCGTGTTGCCAGTGATGACTGACGGATCTGAGACGTGTTTCTTCACTGCTGGCTGTATGAGAACTCTCAAGGTCGCTGAGCGAGCTATGGAGAGGGCTATGTTCGTGGTTTCTCTGCGTGATAAACATGGAAATGAGGACATACACAGTAGAACCAGAGTTATCGACATAGCCCAACGGAGTTGTAAACTCAAGTGGCAATGGGCCGGTCATATAACTCAAAGATCTGACAACAGATGGGGAAAAAGGGTTCTCGAGTGGCAGCCTCGTACCGGTAAGCGTAGTGTAGGGCGACCTCCCACTAGATGGAGTGACGGCCCGGTAATATGTAAGTTGTTAAGGGCTGTAATGATGATAATATAAAAAACATGCGTGCAGCTCACACGCGACTGAAAT